TTCTCGCAACTGGATCATCAAACAACGCCAGTACACAGTGCTGAAGCGATTAGTGACCACAGGTCCTTGGGAAAAACAGTGGAGGAATTGCAGCGCCAAGTTAGAGATTTAACATTAGCTTTAGAAAGCCATGGTCGAAGCCGGTTCCCTTCCCGCCGGCGCTTCAGGAGTCGACCACGCTCGTCCAGTCGAAACAGGGATGCCACTTCTATGTGTTATTACCACCGCCGATTTGGGTCTGCAGCACATTACTGCACTAAGCCGTGTACCTATACTGCGGTCGCGGAAAAACAAAACCGCCAGCGAGTAAAAGCGACTAATCTCGCTGGCAAGGCATCTTCACCGAAGCTTAGTCGCCTTTTCTACGTGACGGATACACGTAATAATTTACGTTTTTTGGTTGACACCGGCGCTGCCATTAGTGTATTACCCGTGCGTGATAAAGCACGTCAACAACCTTTCCAGCTCCGCTTACAAGCAGCAAATGGTTCCAGTATTAATACTTACGGTACGAAGTCCCTTACCCTAAACATAGGAATGCGACGAGACTTTACCTGGAATTTTACTGTTGCTGACGTCCAGATGCCGATATTAGGTGCCGATTTCCTGGCGCATTATGATCTCGCCGTTCGAATGAACAATCATTCCTTAACAGACAACTTAACAAGACTGTGCGTTCTTGGCACTTACTCTAAACTTACCACCACTGGCATCACCGTGGCAACTTGCCACAATAAAGAGTACTTACACTTATTGAATCAGTACCAGGACCTCCTGCGTCCTGCTGGATCTATTGATTCAACTAAACATCAAACACAACACTTTATTAAGACCACTGGTCAACCTGTTTTTTTCCCGTCCTCGTCGTCTAGCACTTAACAAATTAAAATTCGCAAAGAAAGCTTTCGACGACATGCTACGAGAGGGTGTTATTCGTCCGTCCGACAGTCCCTACGCTTCCCCTCTTCATTTGGTACCAGGAAAGGAAGACTATAGAATTTGTGTGGATTATAGAAGGTTGAATTCCATCACCGTCCGGGATCGTTATCCAATTCCCCACCTCCACGATTTCGCTTCTGGTTTACAAGGCGCAAAGATTTTTACTAAAATAGATCTCGCAAAAGCATATTATCAGGTGCCGGTAGCTGCTGCTGATGTCCCAAAAACTGCTGTTACTACACCTTTTGGTTTATTTGAATTTTTAAAAATGCCTTTCGGCCTTTGCAACGCAGCACAGACCTTTCAGCGTCTTATGGACGAAGTTCTGCGTGGACTCCCCTTCGTTTTCGATTACATTGACGACATTCTGATAGCTAGTGAGGACGCTGCCTCGCATAAGCAACACCTACACGAAGTTCTTCAACGTTTGTCTCATTACGGATTCCGTCTAAACCTGGACAAATGTGTCTTCGGATCAGACCATATAGAATTTTTAGGACATCATGTCGATGCAAACGGAATTGCCCCTATAACTGAAAAGATTAAAGCTATCACTGAGTTTCCCGCCCCTGTTTCCATTAAACAGTTGAGACGCTTTATAGGGATGATCAACTTCTATCGGAGATTCATTCCAAACTGTTCTAACATTCTGACTCCCCTTACCAACTTATTACAGAAGAAGAATAAAACTATCATACTTGAGAATGAAGCCTTGGACGCCTTTCGAGCAGCTAAAACCGCTCTAGGCAATTTTTCTAAGCTCAATTTCTTAGAGGACGACCCTCAGTCGGATATCTACCTGACCACTGACGCTAGCGAAACAGCAATAGGCGCGGTCATTGAACAAGTCCGTCCTTCTCAACGTAAACCCATAGCGTTCTTTTCCGCTAAACTTTCTCCTGCCCAGTCACGCTACAGTACCTTTTCTCGTGAACTGTTGGCTATTTTTCGTGCTGTTAAGCATTTCAGACACCTCCTCGAAGGTAGGTCCTTCGTTATATTTACGGACCACAAACCTTTAACGTCCATTATGTCCACCAATTCGGACAAATACACTTCGAGGGAAATCAGATACCTGGACTATATATCTCAATTTACTACTGATATTAGATACATTAAGGGTTCGGATAACACTGTTGCCGATACCCTATCTCGTACTGAGATGTTCGTCGTGCATACTGATGCACTCAGTCAAGATTTGATCGCCGACGAACAGGAAGCGGACATAACTCTGAAGCATGTGTTATCCGACACTTCTTTGGAACTTCAGAAATGTCCAGCTCCTTTTAGCAACAAAGTACTATACTGTGATGTTAAATCCAAATCCCCAAGACCTTATGTTCCTCCGTCTCTTCGTAGACAGGTTTTTGACCACTTACACGGACTCTCACACCCTAGCAAAAGAGCCACAGTTAGATTAATTTCGGACCGTTTCGTTTGGCCGAATATGAACGTTCACATTCGCGAATGGGTCAATACATGTTTACAATGTCAGAAGTGTAAGGTGCATAGACACACAAAATCTCCTGTGGGCACTTTCAGTGAGCCTGATGCTCGCTTTACTAATATACACCTGGACTTAGTTGGGCCCCTACCAACCTGCCATGGTTATTCCTACCTTTTAACTATAGTGGATCGTTTTTCCCGATGGCCTACTGCCATCCCTGTCAAAGATACCACTGCTGTGACTGTCGCAAAAGCTATTTTATGCGATTGGATTTCGATTTTTGGGACTCCTAAAGTGGTTACTACGGACAGAGGAGCGCAGTTCCAGTCGTGTCTTTTCAGGGAATTCACTGAACTCCTTGGTGCAAAGCATATACGTACCACAGCGTATCACCCCTGTGCTAATGGTCTAGTGGAACGGTTTCATCGCACCCAGAAGGCTTCGCTATCAACGAAGCATGAGAACAATAATTGGGTCGATGAATTACCCCTCATCCTTCTATCGTTACGAAATATTCTTAAGGATGATTTGAAATGTTCCCCTGCAGAGCTTGTATTTGGTACTTCGTTATCATTACCCGGCCAATATTTCTCACCAGCTGTGACCACACCCCCAGTTTCTTCCTCTTTTATTCAAGACTTACGCCTTAAAATGGCAAACTTATGTTATACACCACCGCGGCACTGCCCGAGTGACATATATTTGCCGCACCAGCTCAAGGACTGCGAGTTTGTATTTGTACGTAACGACTCTGTTAAGCGCCCTCTTACGCCGGCCTACACAGGCCCATTCCGCGTTCTTAAACGCGCGGACAAATATTTCCAAATACAAAAAGGTATTCACACCGACAACGTTTCAATAGATCGGTTGAAACCTGCCTTTATAGAGAAACCGTCGTCTCATACTACTTCCCAATCAACTCCGCAAGTTCAAGAGAATTTGAAGACAGCTGTTTCTCTCGACAAGCCTAAGTATACCAGCTCTGGTCGAAAAGTCACCTTTCCAAAGAAATTAGAAACATTCTACTATTATTAGTTAAATGTCTGCGACATTTAATCCAGGGAAAGGGCTGTGTGGAATAATGTATTATTCCATCTACGACATTTTACGCGCGCGCGAGTTTCCTCCCTTTCTTCCACACTCGCGTGTGCGCGCGCGCGTTTGACACCCCTTTCTGCCTCTTTCAGTCTAATACAGTAGTAACTGTTTTGTCGTCAGTCAATCTTCCCGCGAAATTTGTGACGTCAACGACAAACTGTTGTTTCAAAAAAGTTAGTTGTGATCCAGACTCGGACCTGAGCAGACTCATTTTTAGCCATTTTGTCAATATGCAAGGTTGACAGACGAGGGATATCTTACAATGCAAATACCAAATATTAATTCTTCGTCCCTTTTGGTTCGTCGTTCAAAAATTCTTCTACGAGACGATGCAAACACCAAATAATTAATTCTTCGTCCTTTTTGGCTCGTCATTCAAAATTCTTCTACGAGACGATGCAAACACCAAATATTTAATTCTTCGTCCCTTTTGGCTCGTCATTCAAAATTCTTCTACGAGACGATGCAAACACCAAATAATTAATTCTTCGTCCCTTTTGGCTCGTCATTCAAAATTCTTCTACGAGACGATGCAACTCCAAGTATTAACTTTTCGTCCCTTTTGGCCTCGTCATAAATCTGTTTTGAACCAGTACCAAAAAAAAAAAAAAAAATATATACATAACTTTTCACTCACATTAACAAAAAAATCGCAGTGAGTATTTTTCCTTGTATGTATATTATCATGTACATTGACTTATCTGGAATATTCTTCTTCTTCAAGAACTTTTCCCGCCTTAGCCATCTTATTTTCTATTTTGGCGCGGAACATTTTCATTGATCCCTACTACGGGATAAGTTACTTGTTTTTCCTGCATTTAATAAAAATTACTCTTGTTTGAATCCAGTCTTTTTCTGTCATTCTGTGCCGGCTATCTTAATATATTTTATTTTATGCACGTGTGGATTAACCACATTTCTTCGTTGTTCATTCACGCATATTTTTATCTTTTTTTACTTTGCTTGTAGACTCGGTAGTTTAGTGTGGTGTCTGGCACAAGGCCACTTAGTAATAAACCAGCACTGCACCCTACCGGGTCTGCAACAAGACTGTACTATGCGTCAGAATTAAGACACGTGAAGGAAGAAATCAAATCGAAATGCACAGGGCATGTACCTCCTTGCTCTAAGATAACATACCAGTTCACACTGCTCAGGTTGCAGTATCTGAAACAGCCAACTATGACTTTGAATTGCTACCACACCCCCTTACAAAACAGACTTAGGTCTATCTTACTTCTTCCTGTTAACTAAACTCAAAACCCACCTGCGTAATCGCCATTTTGGAAACAATGATGAGATCATATATCCTGTGGAGGATTTTGGGGCGGGCCTAGACGCCACATCCCACGTGATGGGATTGCAATGCTTATGCCTCGTTGGACTAAGTGCATTGATGTCAGGGGGACTATCAGGAAAAATAGCGAAAAACTGTCTTGCTTCTCCAACGCCTTCTGAGTGAGGCTTAGAACTTTTTGAACGACCCTCGTATGTAGAGATACACTTTTCATCACAACTATTCAATCAACAGGAATAAAGCTACGAGGAGTTTAATCAAAAGCTGTGCTGCCGATTGACCAACAAGATCTGTTACGGATGACAGAAAAATCATTTAACCATTTTAAATTATCCACCATTTTTCTCTGATCCCTAGACGCCATATTTGTTTTGTTTTTTTTTTGTTTTTTTTTCTTTACACTTGTAGTAATAACTGTCATAGCAGTAGTAATATTTACTCACAGATGACTGGAACCGGCATAAATGTGCTTCTATGATGCTGAGAACGCCATGGAGAAAGTGTATGAGTAACAAGCGAGTCCTAAGAAAGCTGGAAACAAAAGAACACTTTTTGTAGTATCTAACAGAGACAGTTCAGGTTGGCTAGGACAATCTGACACTCACAGGATATATTGTAGGCAAAGGGGATAATGAGAGGCAGTGGGCCAGCGCTATCTACGTGCTTATGTGAATGGACAGGCGGAACCGGTAGTGAGAGGGATGGAAAAGCAAATATTACGAAGTGCTGCAAAGGATTGGAGGTTGTGGAAAGCCACGACCATATGGGTTCTAAATGGACACGGTACAAAGAAAAAGAAATATTATAATAATTAATTTCTTATTACACAATAAATGATCAACCGTTGTAATGGAATGTCCCACACTCCCTATCGCCTATGTGGACTGACTATATCATATAGTGAACACAGGATATACCTGAGGCTTCCTTCGGCAATTAGTTGGATCGTTTCCAGCTAAGCTAGTCGTACTCTATGCCTTCGGGCAGAGAGGAACCCAGACGAGGCTATGCCAAAGAGCAGAGTCTCGTCTGGGGTGGTAGACATCTACCCGGCCCCGTTTTTACAGGGTCTACAGGGAATTTTTACCCGAGCCCATATGTTCGCTTTTAACATCGCATTAAAAACGAACTTATGCCACATCCTGCCTCGCGGGGAAGTGAATAAATAACCTTGCGTCGGCAATTGGTTGGAGATTCATCTCCGGCTGGGTCGGTCGAGCTCTCTGCCTTCGGGCGGAGAGGAGCCTGGACGAGGCCGTGCCAAAGGGCGGAGTCTCATCTGGGGTGTACACGGCTGCCCGAACACGTTTTTATGAGGTTTACGGGGAAATTTTTGTCCGATCCCACGTGCTCGGTTTTGACCCGCATTAAAAACGGCCTTGTGCCACATACTGCCACGCGGGGAGGTGAGGTAAATAACCTTGCTTCGGCAATTAGTTCGTAATTCGTCTCCAGCTAAGCTAGTCGAACTCTCTGCCTTCGGTCAGAGAGGAACCCAGACGAGGCTATGCTGAAGAGCAGAGTCTCGTCTGAGGTGGTAGACAGCAACCCAAGCTTGTTTTTACGGGGTGCAGGGAATTTTTACCCGATCCCACGGGATCGGTTTTAACCCCGCATTAAAACGACTTTGTGCCGCATCCTCCCTCGCGGAGAGGTGGGGTAAATAACTTTGCTTCGGCAGCTTAAAGATTTTTCTTCGGCTGTGCTGGTCGAACTCTCTCCTTTCGGGGAGAGAGGACCCCAGACAAGCCTATGCAGAAAGGAAGATTCTGGTATGGTGTGGCAGACAGCTACCTGACCCTGTTTTTACACGGTCTACAGGGAATTTTTGCCCGAGAGCACGGGCTTGGTTTTAACCCAGCATTAAAAACGGCCTTGCGCCACATCCTGCCTCGCGGAGAGTTGAGGTAAAGAACGTTGCTTCGGCAATTTGGAGCTTCGTACTGTCCGAACTCTCTGCTTTCGGGCAGAGAGGAATCCAGACGAGGCTATGCCGAAGGGAAGAGTCTCATCTTGGGTGGTAGACCGCTACTCGACAAGGAATTTTCGATCCCACATTAAAAACGGCCTTGTGCCACATACTGCAACGCGGGGGTAAGGTAAATATCCGTGGTTCGCGGGGAGGTGAGGTAAATAACGTTGCTTCGGCAAGTCGGAGATTTGTGTCCGGACAGAGAGAAACCCAGGGTTTGCTGAAGGGCAAAGTCTTCTCTGGGGTGGTAGATAGCTGTCCAACTCTATTTTTTAGAGGGTATTGGAGAATTTTTGCCCGAGCCTGTGGGCTCGGTTTCGCCCCGCATTAAAAAAAAGGCCTTGTGCCACATCCTGCCTTGCGGGGTGGGGGTGAGGTAAATAAACTTGCTTAGGCAAGTTGAGATTTCTGTCTAGCTGTGCTGGTCGAAAACTTTGCTTTCGTGCAGAGAGGAACCCAGACGAGGCTATGGGGTGGTAGACAGCTACCTGACCCCGTTTTTACGCGGTCACGAGCTCGGTTTTAACTCCGCATTAAAACGGCCTTGTGCCACATCCCGCCGCGCGGTGAGGTAAGTTAAATAACCTTGCTTCAGCAAGTTGGATATTCGCCAACCCTCGTAGTGTAGAACGATATCAGTGTCTACATTTTACCCTTAGTTTAAAGCCGGTCTAAATTTGTCGAATAAACCTGAACCTATCTAGCTTTTTGTTTCCCATGTAAAACCGAATCCACAGGGTGGTCTGAAAGTCTTGTCACCCCTTATAATATAATTATCTATTTCAGATGACTGACACGGGCTCCTGTTTGGAAGAGTGGGTTAGGGCGGACCGGTTTTGGACCACCCTGTATGTCTACTTTGTTTATTCTGATGTAAAACTCAACTCATACCTAACTTTTTCTTTTTACACTGGTGTAAAACCGGATCAATGTTTGCCTTTTGAACTCTTATTTAAAACAGGATCTACGTCTATTTTTACTCTTGTATAAAACTTGACCTATGTATACTTTTTTTGACTTCAGCGTTATTTGACCGGTGGTTTTAGTCCTGCAAGAACCTAGTGCTTTGACATTAAATAACCCAAGCCAGTTTTGATATGTCGTTAAGTTAATCAATTCTTGTTTTATTTCTTGATTAATTGATATTTTATTCTGTGCAAACAAATCTGTTCCTTTATACCGAATATACCATTCCAATATTGTCTTGACCAAAATTAGCCCCACTTTTTTACGAGTCGATTTGAATGCTTATGTGACAAGCTATTTGACTCCCCATACGCACTAAATAATAATAATAATTATTATTATTATTATTTTCTTTGATTTCTGGCGTTTACACATTTCTTTCCGGGTCCCGCCCAGGGACCTAAGGTTAGAAATGGCGTCATGACACTTTCCAGTGACAAGAAAAAAAAAATTAAAAAAAATTAAATTACATAGATAAAGCCCTTCGTGAGGTGTGGGCTATACTTGTCAGAACAATTTTTTGTATCTCCTTGAGGCACGGACTTCCAGGAATCCCTTCAATTAGTCTACTGCAATTTTTTCCAACCAGTCCTAGGGCTCCAACTATGACAGGGATTGTTGATGTTCCCATATGCCACATTTTCGAGATTTCTATTTCAAGGTCCTTGTACTTTGACAACTTTTTGAATATCTTTAAAGATACATTGCAGTCAGCAGGGACTGCCATATCAATAAGGAGGCACCGTTTTTGTTTGTGGTCTTTAATAACAATATCTGGGCGGTTGGCCTTGATTGTTCTGTCAGTGTGTATTGTGTAGTCCCAAAAGAATTGTAACAGGTCCTATCTCCGTAACCTGGTCTGGGTGGTATTCATACCATTTTCTTTCAGTTTCCTTCCGTAGAGTTTTCCAGAATATTGGCCCACTCTGTCATGTTTTTTTTATTTGGGTTGCCAACACCGTGCCATACAAGATGATCAATCGTTTCTGGATATTTATCAGATATTATTATTATTAACATTATTATTATTATTATTATTATTATTATTATTATTATTATTATTATTATTCCACTGCTCTTTAAACTTTCTCAAATATTTCTTGATCTTTTCTTTCAGCTCTGATTTCGACCTCTTCTTTATCTGCCTCTTCTCTTCATTATTGGCTGATTCTGGAACTCATCTCTACGTCTCTCTCACTATCTCTCTCTTCCCCATTTTTAACTTCAGATTTCAAAACTTATTTTAATTTCATTAATTCAATTCTTCTGTAACAAACATAGGAAAATATATACATATAGATAGATATGAACAGACTAAGATAGATAGATAGAAGTAGAAATAGATGTTAGATAGAGTACTAGAACAATCAGGTTTAATATTCATGTCAACCAATTTTTATCGATCTGAACGTCTTTTGGAACTCTGTTTCGACACCTTTGCCCTTCAAACTAACTCGAAACATTTGAATTATCTGATTATTAGACCGACTCGCTCACTACATTTTGATTCGACTGACTTAGACCGACACAGACTGACATGTGACGGACTTCACTCCTTTTTTAATCACCCAGACTTAGATCTTACTACTCCTCTGAACAGTATTTCTTCTTTTTGTTCTTCGTCTCAGTCACCCCCCACTCTTCTCTGAGGGTTTTTTTAAAACTTCTTTCATTTGTCCTCGGCCTATATAACTGCAAAATATTTCCAGTTTAATCGGCTGGGATCTTCCTTGTACCACAGTGATAGTCCTGAACCAATAAAGGCTCGAAGGCGGATATGGAATAACACAGATATATTACAAACAGGAAAATATACAGAGAACCCAATCAGGTTTAGTAAATTTTCTGAACGCGACTCTGTTTCGGACTACCTCTGACTCGATAGAACCCTCTATAAACCTCCAGTTCAGGAACAGTATTTACCTCCCCGAAATGAGACTTTAACGTGGGATCTCCTTCAGCCCGTAGCCTCGTTCAGGTTCCTCCCCGCCCGTAGGCAGAGAGTTCAACCGATCAGCCGGTCACCCGACTTCAGACTGAACACTCTGCTTCCTCTTGAGGCGCAGTATTAATTACGTATGGAATAGTCCATTATGTTATAATGGGTAAGGTCCCATAACACAAGGCTTTACTCATCTCTACGTCTCTCTCACTATCTCTCTCTCTCTCTCCCTTCTCCATCTTTTAACTTCTCTCACTCTCTTACCCATTTCAAAACTTATTTTAATTTCATTAGTTCAATTCTTTTATTTACTTTATAACTCGCCCATTCATTGTCTCTCCAAAACAGATAGATAGATAGATAGATAGATAGATAGATAGATAGATAGATAGATAGATAGATAGATAGATAGATTATGATATAAAATTGATCAAAAGATAGATTGATATGAACAGACTAAGATAGATAGATAGATAGATAGATAGATAGATAGATAGATAGATAGATAGATATAATGGGATACAAAATAAAGAAATTGAGCCATAGATACATATGAACATAGATAGATAGATAGATAGATAGATAGATAGATAGATAGATAGATAGATATAAAATAAAGAAATTGAGCAATAGATACATATGAACATAGATAGATAGATAGATAGATAGATAGATAGATAGATAGATAGAGAGAGAAGTATAAAATGACTAAAGAGAAAGAAAGAAAGAAACAACGAAACAAAGAACAAATATCTGTACAGTCTGAGAGTGATGTACTGATATTTATTTTTTCTTCTCATTTGCATACACCACACAAGCAGGGACCGTATCGTCCACGCCGTCTTTCACATATCTACATTCTCCTCCCAATCTTTTCCTTCTTTTCATATATATATATATATATATATATATACTTACCACTATATGTCTTTGTTTATTTTAGTTCATTTATTTTACCTAATTATTTGTCGCCCATTAGTCAATTTGTTAACATTTTTTTGACTGTCACCAGCAATTCCATTCTTTTATCGGCCATAATATTTCTTCCTTCTCCAAACTATTGCAATCCAACAGAGGAAATCCAGACAGGCAATCCTGAAATCTGTAAACCACAAAGGCAACCGGATTCAACTCAAGCGAGTAATTTTTTCCATCTGCACCGCCAATTTAATACCGACATATGGACGCAATGCTTCCACGTGAACTTTCTCTAAAAACGGCCTTATAAAAATATTACCTCTTATATAATGTGAACTCCTCCAGTATTACATAAAAAGCTTTGAAAATACCACTTCACCAAAAAGAACGAGTTTTTATGTATTTTTTTATTTGTTTTTGCTATGATGTTCACTCTTTTCAAAGCCGAAAAGCCACTCGAGCTAGAGTGTTGCAGAGTAAGAGACACGGTCGATGAGGATATGTGGGAAAGATAACGGTTAACCTTAGACTTGAACAGTTCAAGATTATAAGATTGTAGTGATCGAGAAAGCAGCCACTTGGGAGTTGGTTCCACAAAGTAGCTGTTCATAGGAGGAGACTGTTGGACCTTTCTGTCTTAGCCACTGGTATTGTCACGTAGACCTTTTCTTCAGACAAAGAAGATTCTCTTGAAAAAACAATATGATCTGAGATGGCTAGATGGGGACGCTGGATGATCACATAAGTATATTTTTTTTATTGTCCAAAGTACAATCGAATAATGAGAAATGCATGCATTTTGGGTGAATAGGAAATTATTCGGATAGATTTATGCTCGCTCAGTCATTCTAAGATTTTACCACGTACACGGGCTTTTAAATTAGGAGTACAGGTTTCGATTTACACCAGTTCCACTCTCAAGCCTTAACCAAGCGTTTTTATACGTTCTAACCGTTTCGTTTGGTTTCTTTTTCCATTATAGTTTTCTTAGCTTTATGTATGACTATATTCACTTTCATTTATTTAGTATAACTACTTCACATACTACTAAAATATTGGACGTGGTGGTCACTCTACCATATACTGATCTTATAATTATTAACGAGGTTTTTTTGTTTGTCTGAATAATTGATCACTTAGAAACACGAAACCAATGTGTTGACATTGTTCTGGAATTAAAACATTTCTATTGCTATAAAACAATATTGTCATAAAAAAAGAGTGACCACTTTGGAATACCAGGTGCTGTAAGCTTGGATGTGCGGGTGGTGTAATGAATAATGGCTCGGAATTGTTAATCGGTGAACCGAGTTCCAATTCCACCTTTTCTCCCCAAACTATGGGTTAATTAGTAAGACTTGTATCACTAAACCATTATTATCTCCAAAAATAAATCTTTAAAATCTAAAGATATTTTCTGGCTTTAAATAATCTGTAAGGTGTTGATAAGCCGTAATAAAAAAACGAAACAACCACCTAACAGTTTTTATCGAAATACTAAAGATACATTTTCGTGAAATATATCTGTTTGATGCTTTGGCACACATCATCAATGTTGTTTTTAGCCGAGGTTGATTAGGGGTTTCGGATTTTTCAATATAATAACCCCTCTCCACGGCGAACCAACCGATACTGATCAGGTATCGACTTGTGTGCCAACCCTCAGCTACAGCTTTCCTCATTTTTAATCACACACTGCGACTCCTCTTGGCAATTTATGGTCTAATGACGGATAACTTCCGGTTGACCAGGAATCTACGCTCTTCCATAAAAAAGGAAGCAAACGCAGTAACGGTGTAGGGTTATTCAACATTGAAATTTACATTTTGACGTCCGATGTATTTTGATGTTTGACTTTGTCTACCCCTATTCAGCTTTTAGCTCTTTTATTTTTATCATTATTGCTTTTAATTATCTAATATTGTATTCGTATTCATTTTTGAGGACGTAAATTTACTTCAGAGGTCTCCGTTCAATACATTTTTACCTTAATGATTTTTTTTTTAATCAGAACCACATTAGTCGAAATTATGGTCGATTTACGCATAATTTCGACTCGATTGTTTTTGTCGGGATATTTTGAAATGTAACAAATGAAGAAGCCTGTATTAAATGTTCTTAAGTAAACGTCTATAAAACATGAGATGAAATTTTTTCTTACAAAAAGACAGTTTATTAAAAATGAATCTTAACAATCACCCCAACCACGGCTTTACCGGTGAGAGAGAAAAAATATGTAATGCCCAGCCACCGGTTGAACAGCGGTAGAAAAAAAAATGACTTAATGCCCAGCTACTGGTAAAACGGTGGGTAAACACTTGTAACTATTTTCATATATACCGTAAAACATTACATACCAATTATTTGACTCAGAAGCCCAGGCAGACGGGTTAAAATTGTTCAGGAACACAGGGATCAAAGGGTTAATAGTCAGCCATTATTTTTTTTACTAGAATTTCTTTCATCTTATTTATACATATAAATCAACACTCCATAATGACAGACCATAGTTACTCCTCTTATTGTGGGCTCTCTATATATAAGCCACTGGATGCATATGACAGTTTGGGCAAGGGTCGAAATTGTTTTTTTCTGGGTTTTATTTGGGAATAATATTTTGGGATATTTTTAATCCCGCATTGGATTTTCTTTTTATTTTTGTTTATATATTTTATTTATATATTTTATTTTATTTCTATTTTCCTTAAACCTAAATTGTATATTTTAAATAGATTTTATTAGTTTTACGTCATGAGTTTATAATTGTTTAATTTTTGGAACCGTGATGTGGTTGAAGATAGGAGTTTACTAGGTATTTGTTTTCGTATCTGCATTTGGCAGTAAGCATTGATCATCTACTTAAAAATGTATACTGCACTTTATGCATGCATATATATATATATATATATATATATATATATATATATATATATATATATATATATATATACATGTGTGTGTGTATGTCTTTGTGTGTATTTATGTATGTATGTGTATGTGTCTTCACTTTCCCATCGCCATAATGTGACTTCCCTGTGCCCTTTCTATAAATTATTTCATGTTAATTGTTCTGATTAAGTTTCCTCTATGGTATTTCGACTTTAGGAATTGAAGCGCATTACTAGATTGGCAGTACGGTCTCGGTAATTTACAGTCGATTTGGCTAGATGTAACCGTAAATTCTCTGCTAACAGTTTCCTCTCTCGAACTTCTTGATTCCTCTTCTTTTATTGTTCTCGCTCCTTAATAATGTTTTAGTTTTTCTTTTTCTTACGCACTCAATAACCCCCCCCGCGTCTTAGTGGCTTTACTGCCTTACTTAGGCGGAAATGATTTAAAAATGTCTGTGCGTGTGTGTATTCCTGTATGCATGAATATATATATATATATATATATATATATATATATATATGTGTGTGTGTGTGTGTGTGTGTGTGTGTGTGTGTAAGTTATCCAGATGTAAGGGAGGCACGGTGGAGTAATTGATAGCGGCTCGGATTGAGGAATCGGAGTTCGAATTTCAGTCGAATCCATAACATTCACTTACGTGCTAATACCTTTGGGAAAGGTATGAATCTTCTTTTCTCTCCCCAGCAGGACAGACCGGATTCTTAGATGGAAACTGGTCTACCGCAGAAAGAAATGGCAACCAACTGCAGGAAAAAAAATCTGCCTCGTCAGTCATTTATCGAAAGATAGATGATCGCATAAGCGTGTATCACGTATGGCACATAACTGACTGAAGTTATCCAAGAAAAACAGGCTGAAATTGCGAATTATCTATCAGAATCTCTTCTTCTCGTCATCATAGTCAGTTATGTGCCATAGAAAGATACATAACTGTTTTTTTACCGCAGTAGGTTGCCATCCAAGGCTATAGAACCCGGTCTGTTTACGCACAGAGAAGAAGAGAATTCATACCTTTCCCAAGGGTATTAACACGTAACTGTATGTAATGGATTCGACTGGAATTCGAACTCGGCCCTCCGTTTCCTCAACCCGAGCCACTATCCGTTACTCTGCCTCCCCGTCATCCTAACACATTCTTTTAGCATTAATACCCACTTCGAAGCCCCATCTTTTTCACAATCAACCACCTACATTCACATTTCAAATTTGAATGATTGGAGGCAGGAATACATGTTCGCTGCTGTAAATATATAAAGGAATTCATTTCTTGTTTTGACAATGTCGTCTGGTTAGGCTTGTGTTACATGTCACCCATTGGGTGGGCGATTAAAAAAATACAACTAAGAACTCACAATAAGTTCCCTAATAAAGTTCATGTGTATCTCAAATATTACGAATAAGTTAATATAAATCAAATGCATGCGCGCCTCAAAAATTACGAATAGGTTTACACACAAACAAACACACACACACACACACACACATATATATATATATATATATATATATATATATATATATATATATATATATATATATATATATATATAAAATTGTATATTTGGGTAACAATCACTCTCTAATATATGTTTCATCAGATGTCACTGATAAGATACATCTGTTAAGTATTTTAATGTTTTCTTTGAGTGTGGACAAGAGGTTTCTTTTTGGGGCTCAGTGTCTATCGAAATCGCTCTTGCCTAAACTATTAGCCGTTTTGCATTATTTAGGCTGTACTATTGCAAATGGCGTGTACGTTGGTGAGGGGCAAATATATTCGTAATTCCCGAATACGACCAGTACATTATGGTCGCGTTTGTGCTTGATGTTGTTGAGGGTTGATTTTGCTTTTATGATAAAGGTTTCTATTAATCTTGTAC